GATTTGTTGGTGGAAGCGGATTTGCCTAGGATGGCGGAAGTGGCAGATTTCTGTCTTCTCTTCGTTTCTTGCCGAAGGTTGATATAATGATTTCCCCCCAAATTATGTGGTTTACCGTATGTGTACTAAGAGAGGGGCAATGGCAGATTCACTTTAAAATATTGCATTATTTCTGCCATATAATCTCATGTAGTTAAAAAAAAAACAACAACCTATGCTAGCATAAATAATATTTGCAAAGTAATATTGAGTGTGGAAATGTAACTTCAATTTTGAAATAGTCTTGCAATTATTGAAGTGTTGCTTGAGCTCCCATTCTATCTGTGCAGTTTAGGCATTCTACAGTTGCTTAATTTATGTGGAGTATTTATAAAATGTGTTTATATTAGAAGTACATTTTTAAAGCTGTACTTATAGCTTGCTCACTACCCAAAAAAAGTGTTTTCCTGGGTTCTTTAATGTGAACAGTGTACGAACCTGTTATTCAACAGGTAATAATCTAAAGCATGACTGGTGCAGCAGTGTCTGAGATCAGATCTCTTCTTCCCCATAAATGTCAGTACTGATGCATCACTGGGAACCTCAGAATTAAATTCTGAAGTTAAGCTGCAGGTCTATAATTCTAAATGTGATGGTATTGGATCCTCTGACAGGAGAGTAAATACATGTGTATCTGAATTTGTCAACAGTGAAACTGTGCCTATGGTGAACTGGGGCCTTATAGAAACTGTTACAGCCTTGTAACTGCTTTTGCAGAGGTAAGGTGCTCTGTACTAAAAATAGACCAGCTCATTATGAGAGTCCCTTTTCCCACCCCACGTATGTCTTCAGTTTACAATAGTTTTGTTTTGCAGTACCATCAAGTAACCTTAATAACGGAGGCCACAAAGGTGACTTTGCAAGTGGCTTTTTGACAAGTTTTTCTAGATAAGCAGACACTTCTCTCCCTGTAAGTTGTGCAAATGTTACACATTAACTTCAGAATTGGTCATTTGTTACAGGAAGATAAACAATCTACCCTTGTTTTATAGCTCTCACAGTACACAGAATTCCACAAAATACAAATCAGCCCCTGCTGCAACGAGAACTTTGTATCTAAGGTCCTAATTCCTGTATTTACTAGAAGTCAGTAAGCCCTCACGCAGGGTGTGTATGGGTGGAAGTGATTTCTAGAGGGGGATCCTTAGGTCAGGCGTTACGCCGCGTGGGAGGTCAGAGGGGTCACGTTTCCCTCATTGCTCAAAGGCAAAGCCAGATTTTGGTGCTCAGTAGATGCTGGGGTTTTGGGGGGTGGACAGCAGTGGAGCTAAGAAAAACTGAATAAACAGATTAAAATGTAGCAAAAGCCATTGAATTGCTCACACTAAAGGTTATGGGAAAGTACTAACGTTTTGCATACTGCCTTCATGAACTTCATAGTTTTACTGGAGTTAGTATTTATTAACCACTTCAACACACATTTTGCTGAAAACTTGCACACGTTTCCTGCGAAGTAGTGCCTCAATTAGTATCTGTTACAGAGGAGGAAATAAACTATAACATTTTTAGAATTTTCACTCTCATGCTAATGGAAGTTTTTGTCACTTTATTTTTATATATATAAATCCATATACACACACACACATATAAAAATACAAGCAGCAGTATCCTCAAAGCTGAAATAGATCTTGAAAATGACAGATACTGCCTTGGTCAGGCAGATTAGACACGAAGAGCATACTAAAGCTCTTCTCTGGTTGATTCTGACATGCCTATATGCTACTATTGGATTCTTGTGATTATCAAGAGTTCTTTTTAAAACACTGTATGCAACATAGCTGAAAGATTTGTCACAAAGGTACTCTTAAATCATGGTCTGGAGACTTTGTTTTGAAGCGTGGATTTTCTGTCAAAACATAGCAAAACTGATCATACAAATACCAAATGAAATAAATTATCAATTTGTAAGCCACTATTTATGTATTGTTAATATATTTTGTTGACTTCACTACACAGTTTGAGAAATGTTGGCGCCACACAGGCCTTGCGTTGTGCATTTATTTGTTGTTTATCTTCTAACTGCCTGAGGTACATTTTTCTATATGTATTTAAAACATTGTGTGGCACATTACTTATTTCAATCCCAGAGATGTACTTAAGATTCTGTGTGTTTAAGGTACATTCTACATGCCTCTGTGTAAAATACCATACTGGGTACGTTGAAACAACGTAGATGTGAAGAGTTCTCAGCATATGTAAAGGTGGTGGTTGTTTCAATAGCTGAAAGACAATTGCATTTCTAATCTTTGTTTTGAAATGAAACAATAAATTCTAAGACGCAGCTGTGGTTCAGAGGTATTATTTGTAAGAATATAGTTTTTCATTACAAATACATTGCTGTGTTACTGACAGGGAAACGAGTATTTTATTGACTGTAAGTATGAAAATCATTCCACATCTATGCGTCACGGATTGTATCTGGTGGACTTTGCTCAGTGGTAATTGTGTGATACCTGAAGCAGAGTTCAAAAGTCTCCACAGTTGTCAGTTCACGAGTTCCTGAGCAGCTGTGTTTCTCTACCAAAGGGCTGGAAAAGAAAGAAAAGGTTCGGATTGTTTTTTGGGAGAGGTGGCGGGAGGGGGGAGGTTACCGGTTTATGAATGTTCTTTTTGAAACATACCTATGAGTCCGAAACAGTATGTTTAAGGCAAAAGGTTGGTAGTGCTTTGGGTGTTTGGTTTTTTTAATGTCAAAGTATTTCCGCTTTCTATTTAACTCTTGTTATGCTGAACTTACCATAACTTTACATTTTACATATAGATACTATGGATAACCTTCGCTTGAGTGTCATAGCTGTGGTCCTTCACTTTCATCTTCCTGGATCAGTGGGAGCCAAGTCACAGCAGGTTGTTGTTGATACACATCACCCTTCAGACTGCAGGTGGGATGGGGAGTTCTCAGTGAATTGTTCGTTTACCGGAACGTCTACTATTCCAGAAGATGTATCGCAAACAGCAGTAACAGCTGATTTTAGTTACAATAATATTAAAACTTTTATGTGCACTGATGGAAGCAATGAAGAATGGATGCTAAAACACTTGAATCTCAGTAACAACCTGATTTCTGAACTCTCCTTCACCACTTTTAGAAATTTACCCCTTTTAGAAACGCTAAACCTCAATGGTAATGCCATCCGCACCCTCACGCTGGACGTACCTACGCCTGCACGTGGGTCTGAAAAGTATGGAAAAGGCTGTCGTCTCCTGCCTGCTTTGAAAGTATTGTCAGTTGAAAGAAATAATCTTAATACAGTTCCAAGAGGTAAGCATTTCAAAACCTTTAAGGGCCTCGCTCCCCAGGGGTAAGTTGGTTTTGGATATGATTCGGTACACCTTGCTGAATTCAGCGTGTGACGATCTCATTTAATTATGCTTAAGGTGAGGGAAAGTTCCACCTGCGTGCAAATCCAGAGACTGAAGCAAATGGGTTGTTTTGGATTAGGCTGGGTCTTTTTATACATCTTTGCAATCGTAATGCCTTAATGTCTGTCAAATATAACCAAGTTTATCCTCTGAGAGCCCAAACAGTATTTTTCCTTGTTGTATAGAAAGGGAAGTAAGGATCTTTGGAAACCAAACACCAGCCTCCACAACCCAGTCATGAACCTTAACATCAAGGAAATTATGGATAATGAATGTCGTATTACTCTTCAGAAGAAAGTCAATACTCTCTTAAATAAAACCTGCTCCGATTTCAGTATTTCACGAAGACAGGAAAATACATTTTGTTCAGTCAAAACAACGTTGCTCTATGCCGTCTGACACCCGACCAAAGTGACACCTTCAAGAGAGGGCTGTAAGGTTTTGATAGACTTTTAGAAAGTGTTTGCTCGTCACTGAACTCTGCTAGGCATCGCAGCCTTTATGACAGCCTCCATCCTCAGAAACAGATGGTTCACGTTGTCCAAGCAGTGTTTAAATGAAGCAGAAGCTGCACTACGAGCAACGTTATCCTATATATTGTTTGCTGAGTTTAACTGATCTCTGATAACACCACCAGATTGATTAGCTCTAGATCTTGAAAACACGGGGCGGGGGGCAAACCAAAAACCCACTTATCTCGCAAAGTCAGAAAAAGAGAATAATTTTGCACCTACACAGGGTCCTCGAAGTTCTATTTTTCTCCTTTTTTTGATACTAAATAATTCTCTGGCATGCAGGAAAACATTTCACTTCGTTATTCTGTAGTATCTGTAAGGTTCCCATACGGACAGTATAGAAAAGCTTACATTATAAAATACATTGATGCAGATTTGATTTGTTTTGATGGATAAATATAACTACAGATTATAGGATGCCTCAGTGGGTCAGACAGATCAAGCCTTTTCTAGAAAAGACTCAATTTTTAGATGTTAAAAGTCAAATTGCTATGCATCGTACCACCATACTTCAAGTTATACTTAAATCCCGTATCATTTAAATGCATGTTCAGAACTTTATTTTCCTCCTCCCAAATACTCCACTAACATCCTTGGGTTTAAGCTCTGGTAAGAAAGGACAAACTGAAGTTGTAGAGCGGAGGGGTTTGGCCACAGAGAAGCCCTTCTCACAACCCCCACCCCCGGCATCAGGCTGCTGCCCACTGCTGCCACACCAGGGTATATTTTTGGCACAAATTTAGCTTCAGGGAAGCATCCAAACTACAATTCTTCATGCAGGTGCAAGGAAGAATTTATGAACTGCCAGAACTTCTGAATGCCTTTCCTATCAGCTACCTCTAGTTTTACAGCAAGAATGAATCGTTCTCTCTGCTTCTCACAATAAATCCAAAGATCAATTACTCAGCAAACAGAATGGCAAACTGGAATAATCGATTTCCAGTAAACCAGATGACACCAAGGGCAAAATGTTTGAGGAGAACTAGTAGCTTCTCAACAACGCTTTATGATCAAAAATCTCTTTTGAGGGACATTCGGGGGTTACAAACTGTGGTGATGCCTGGTGTTCCAGCGCCTGCCTTCCCCCGGGAGCTTGCAGGCTGGAGCTTCGGGAGCTGCGTGCACAGCACCTGAGAAAAATGAGGCATCTCCAGCATTCAGAAGGGCTACTTAGGCACGACAGGTGCTGTCCTAACTAGGACACGCTGAAGAATATACTGTCACGCTTGGTAATTCACAGGCAGACAGGCGTAAGCAACAAGTTTGTTTTCAGTCAGGTTTACATCCTACGAATATGGTTCAAATAATTCCACATATGAAAAACTCCCATGAACTTGCAGATGGCAACGAATAGGAGATATTGTATCACCTTTTGCATCTCTACCTTTTATTTACAATTAACGTATTTGAATTTTATAAACAGAATACATTCCACCCTTTTCACACTCCTCCTTTCCTACCTCCAGTTCTCCAGAGCAGCGTGCTCGAAGTACAGAGATCACAGTCGGAATAATTTTGATAGTACAAAGGAACATTGCTGCTTTCACGGAGATGTGAATTTTCAAAACGTGCATTGCTTGTGAATGTATTAACACGCCTGCTGCTGATGCTACGCAGCTTTTAGAACGGGACGACCACTGCGCAGGAAAAGCGTAACTCAGAGCCTGCAGCCACTCATTGCAGTAGGCAGGAATGGAAGGAATTTTGTTGCAGAGAGTTTTAAAAAGCCACTTGACGCTATTGGGAAAACAAGAACATGAAATGTAAAACGGTTTTGTTCTTCCTAGGACTAGGCCTGCTGCAGTCTTTACAAACTGTCCGCCTGTCATCCAATGCCATACGACAGATTGATCTGAATGATTTTCAAAACTGTTCACAGCTGCAGGACATCGACTTGCAAAACAACAAGATAACTAAAATTCATCCGGACGCCTTCAGGCATCTCAACAAATTACAGGTTGTAAAGCACTATTACAACTGTTTCAATGTTTTCTGTTAATCCCCATTAAACACATTCATTATCAACTATTTAGCATGATTATATTGGTCTTTGATTATTATATTAGTATATAATTACAAAAACTAAAGCAAATGGTGAAAATAATCATTATTTTTATATAACATATATTTGCTTTTCATATATAGGAAAACATACACACTCGTAAACATACAAAATGTAACCATAAATTCACCATTTATCTGTGCCACAAACTAATCCATAACTGGCTTAAACACACACACGTCCTTTTCTACCCCCATCCCTTCCACGGTGAGAGCCCTGCGGCTTCCCATTCACACAGAGGTAGTCTACAACCCCAGAATTCTAAATATACCACAATTTAAGTTTTTCATTTAAATTAAAAAGCTTAGAACAATATCTTTGAAATCCTAACCAGATATATTGTTCCTGTAACTGCAAAAGTGCTTGTATACTAAATAAATGTTATCGTTGATAGTGCAATTAGGGTTCCATTGTAAGGCTTATCAAATTAATTCTGAATTATTTCCAAATAGGTTGTGGATCTCCGTGAAAATGCTCTGACAACCCCTTTACCACAGATACTAATCAGTTTGAACTTCTTTCGACTTGAAGTGGGTTTGCCAAATAACACCTGGATCTTTAACTCCAGACTAAATGCTTTCAAACATTTATTTTATTTTCTTTTTGACTCCACGAGGAAAAAATGGAGTATTTCGTACAGTAAATCTGCCAACAACTCACAGAAACCTCTGCTGTACCTTTCAAGTTTCCATTTAAACTGCAGCGACAGCGTTTTGTTCAAGAGGGCTGTAATCCCAACGGGGAAGACATCGGTGCTAAGCTGTGACTTGGATAACACAAGGGGTACGTAAAACAGGGACCCTATCCGTACGCTGCTAAAATCCAAAGGCATGCAGAATGATCAAAGAAATCTGGTTTAAAACGCGGATTTCTAAAGATACTGTTTAAAAATAACTGAACGACAATTTAACATGCACATTATTTCATTAGAAAGTAGCATACCGGTTAGAATATTTGAAAGTCATGTTTCCCATAAAAAGTCTTCATCGCCTTCCTTGCATTAAACTAATAAGTGACGCCAGATGATACACAAATGCATTTCAGTAAGTAGCACGTTGCAAATTTATCAGTTAATTTTGGAATGCCAACAAAGGACCAAGCAGCGGGGTGGCACTTCTGGGGCAGGTAGAAAGCTGAGAAGAATGCAACAGCGTTTCTAATACTCAGTTATAGCAAAATGAAATGAAAGGTTATTTGCAAGGGAAAGGATTTATATGTCTTCTAAAAAAGTACAGCTACTGTAGCACACAGTCCACTTTGGAAATGAATTTGGCATTTACAATTAATACAGAGCACTTGCAGTCCAAGTGACAAAATCTACAGAGCTAAGACTTCCCTTGCAGAAGGAAAACTCAGACCAAACTTAGAGCAGGAGGTGTATTTGTCACGTGCCATAAGGCAAAATGCTTTAACTCTAACGGACTGATAGGACTTTGAGGTGGTAAGGCTTTCCCCTTGGAACACTTTATCCCCAAATGAAAATACATAGGGTCTATCAGAAATTACACCCGCTTTGCCTATTAACAAGGAAAGTCACGGGAACTCCGATCACGGGCTTAAAATCAATACGCTGGATTGCGGCAAAACTCAACTGGGAACGCAAGCAGATCCAAAGGCAAAGGTGCACATACAGCCTTGAAACGCAACCCCGAAAGCCAGCCACCAGCCATGGCCCACACTAGCTAAGGCTGGAACAATTTGTATCGGTAGATACAAATATCCTTGGTTTCCAAACCTTTCTGCTGCAGTCAAAGCAGTAACCATGAGAAAATCACAGTGGTTGAAACATTGACAGTGAACTAGTGAAGTTTTATCTCATAACGGCACACAGTGACTGCGGCCACGTTGGAGAACGGCAGGCTATAAATATGGATCTTCCACGAGGGAGATCAGGTGTTCCTAGCGTGACCCAGAACATACTTAGATAATTTCAGTGACCTCCTCCCTCACCCATGCCATTTTTCTTGCAAAGTCTGCTATTAAAACCCCATACTTAGTGTGTTTTAAATGCGTGGTGGGAAATACATGATGGTTTAACAGATACTTGGTACCATGTAAAATGACTATGGATAGATAAAAAGAAAATGGATTTCATAATAAATAGTTAAAATTATCAAAGATAGGTCAGGGTATGTTCTTATAGAAAGAACTTGATCCTGCAAACCAAGTATCCTATACTTTTAAGAAAGACTTAGTTTGTATTTTATTTTATTTTATTTCAGGTAATGGAGTCTCTTGGTGGACACCTAAAGGCAGAATTTCAAAAGATAATAGTTTTCCTCATATGACACTGGATAAAATGAATAATTTAGTGATACACAATGCTGAGAAAACTGCTGAAGGGTTATATTTGTGTATTTTTAATACAACAAAGGAGAAATATCTCCTCTATAATATACAGGTGAAAGAAAGGGTTTCAACATTTTTGACTAGAAAAGCCCGGGACACTACCACTGTTTTTAGACAAGGAAGAACGGAGCAAGACCTTACTTTGGCTGTCTGCCTCTCGGTGCTCATCACGTTTGTTTGTGCTTTTTGTCTGGGTGCTTTTGCTAGACCCTACCTTGTGAGCCTGTGGAGACTCATGTGCAGGAACAAAAATTCAGGTTCAGAACACACTTATTCTAACCAAGCTTTTTCAGATGAAACCTTGAGCAGAGAGTGCTCTGCAAGCAAACCAACAAATCTGCAGCATAATTTGTTCATTTATGATGAGAATTCCTCAAGAAACACATGCATTTTTCCTACAGAAACTTCTACTTTGCATGAAAATTTCATTGATAGCAGCATACATGCACCAGAAGAGTACCAGAAACAAAGCAATAATGAGATCAACGTGAAGAAAAAAACAGTGTTTTCAGACATCAAAACTAGTATCAGCAATGATAAAAATATAAATGTTGATAATAATGGACTACTTTCTGTAAGGACAGATTACAAGAACAGCAATGAAGTAAGGCCAAGAAAATTAACGACTAATAACGTTTCATTATGGAAAGATTCACTGACTCACACTGACTCTTCAGATTCGGATTTATCTGTCACGGGAGAAACTGGCTTTCCATCTTCCACAGCACAAACACATACAGTGGAACAAGATCCTAGGAACAGCAAGGTAAGCAGCAGCTCCGGCCTGCTGCAGTCCGAGATTGCAAAGGCTACACCACATTCTCCTGAAAGAAAAGGTATTGCTGCGCATAACGAGCCCACGAGTACTACAACATTTACGCCTGGAAGGCAACGCTGTGATGAACAACTTGGTCTAAATGGCAACGTAAACATAACCAGTGATGTGGGAGATTTTATTTTACCCAGTAGCTGCAAGAGATACACCAATATTGAGAATTTAAGTGTCTACCAAACAACAGAAAACTCTCCTCTTACAGAGTACGACTGTAAAACGGAACGTACAAATGAAAAAGATGCTTCAGCAGATATATTTGGCGATAGTTCATCTGAAGGGACTCCATTCACAATGAGTGACTGTAGTTCTTTAGCAGACCTTGAACTGGAACAGCCTGACGTTAGTGGCAACCTGCCGGTCTGTCAGGCGTCACTAGAGGAAGCCGATACGAACAGTGGAACTGAGAAGTTCTCAACACTGCCAGAGTCTCCAAATATTGCTGCTGAACTCCAGCATGTCGGGAAAAATGAAGATGAGACCACTGCGTATTTTGAAACCGCTGTTAATTATGGATCAGATACCATCATGCCTGAAACGGCATCACCCTACGCTGATAAATGTGGTGACCATGTAAGCATGTCAGATTCAGACACAGGTAGCTCTTCGAGTCAAGAAGTTCCTGATACGTTTGATTGTTTTACTAATGCAGAGCCAACAGTACAAAACTCTACTTCTGATTCTCTCCACAATCAAAGTACAAATTTTGGTAATACGTTACTTTCGTTAAAACATTCTCCCACGTATGACACAGATACAGAGAACGCTCCTGAAGAGGCTGAATGGCAGCTGTATCAGTTTCCCACTGAACCACAGCATTCCCTCAGCTTCAGTCCCAGTCGACAGAAAGAAAACGCACCAGAGGGAAGTACAGACGAGCACACAGATAGGAACTCCTCCGAAAAGAATCATGGTGAAGGGGACATCACATTAAGAGGAAACACGAGTACATCTGAGGACAATGATTTTATTTTTGCTCCCATTGATATGGGTTTGAATGAAATTGTTAAAACAACATCGCTACTGCGTTCCAGCAGCGAATCCTCTCTTCAATCTCTGCCTGAACACGCAGCTGAAATACATTTTACGGTTATTACAGAGAAAGATGACTTGGCACCACAGAAGCAGGTGAACACAACTAAGGCTTGTGCAGATAAAATGCAAAGAGGTTTTAATGAGAAAGGCTGTGATGGATACACAGAATTACAGGATACCGGCAACTGTAGTCTGCCCAAAGAAACACAGTCTTATCTTATGGCAGATTTGCTGCATCTTCACTCCTCTGGGAAAACACAGTCACTCTTCAACACAGAAGGTCATTTCCAACTGGGTCAGAGTGATGAGGATGCTTATTCCTTCTCAGTCCCGCAAGGCTTCTTCAATGAAAGCACACAAGACGGTTCATGTTCATTCCCACAGAAGCCTACAGGAAGTATAATCTCCGAAAGCGCTGATTCCAGCAAGACGGAGGATGACACTACTTTGACAGGACTGGAGAACAATTCTACAACAGCTGTCAGCCTCCAAAATTCAAGTGAAAAACTCAGTCAAAAAAGTCAGACCAATTTAGGACAGGGCCAGTTTTTTGTTAAGAAAAAAAGAGCATTTGATGGATTTGCTAATCTTTTGCAAAGCAGGAGAACAAACTTCAATAGTTGAGACACAAAAGTATAACACTAAGCTCTCACAGTGTTTACGTCATACAGTAGGTGCAAAAATGATTGTGTCTTAAAATGAAGTGTGTAGCTTTTAATAACTGTTAAATAGCATGGGTTGTTTTGGCTTCCAACTAGACTCAACAATGAGATGTACAAAGCCTGGATGCATCCAATTTAAAAACACCGTAATTCCAAAGGGTAATTCAGGGCAGAAGCCATGGACTTTTGTTTAGAAGGGTACTTGTGAAAAAAACAAGAATAGATTTTACGAAAAACAACTCTAGGATACTCAAATGAGTAAACTACTCTGTAGTTATAACTGACAATAAAGCTTTTGCTGAGTTATAATAATATATATTTACTTGCTCATTATTGTGGGTACTAAGATATTAGTTTCTCTTAGAATTTGCCTCTGATATCAACTGTTTTGTTTCTCTTTGTCTAAAATAAATGTAACACCGAAATTATTATTACTATTACTGTGTTTTCCTGTGGGACTCACCCTATACAGTGAAGTAGTACATATTACTGTCTTCTGCTTTTTGAACCAAATTTGTGGATTAAGTGTCCCAATTCCCACAGTTTTGCAAAGATAGGTAAAGTCCAAGCAATATTTAATTACATTTTAAAAATTACTTTTTTAACTTGGCAAGACAGAGAGAGTAATGAAACCCTTCTTTCTCAAAGAAACAGAATAGAATTCAAACCTTGCAGAGAAGTCAGTTATGGAGATCTAGCTACTGCTTGGACATCACCTGTAGTTTGCAGATGGGATGACATGGGCAGGGTAATTTAAAAAAAGACAACCTACTATTACTAAGGCATAACTCCCTATGAAAAAGGATCCGATACCCACTTCAGAATTTTACTGAGAGGGGCAAATCAAGAGCAGCTCAAAACTGCCGTACTAGAATATCAAGAGCTTGATACACAGTAAGTTCTTCTATGCCAAAAGATAACAAATGTAAGATACAATATGGCCCAAGGCCCTTTTAACATACACAGTATCACTGATGTAGTCCTTGCAGGGGAACGCCATCACCAAGGGGAACAGCCCCAGGTTCCCAGGAAAAGCAGGAGGCTGGCCAGCAACTCCGGGAAAACTCTGTTATGAAGACACAATTAATTCACTAAAAACTCTGAACAGAAGGAACACATTTCAATTCCATCAGATAAGGAGCAAGTCCAGTGGCACAGTACATCTTTGAAACTATCTTTAAAGAGAAAGCTAGGGAAGAACAAAGAGATACTGACAGAAGCTAATAATTTTTGTTAACTTCATGTACTTGGAACTACAAAAAAAAATATATATATATATTGCAAAAAACTTAAGAGGCAAGTAAAAGCAACTGAAGGAGACCAGTACTGATATTATTTGATCTTTTGAAAAATATTTTCTTTAGCACCTTCAGTTCCTTTTAAATAACCGTTTTACACATCTAGCATCACAATTATCAGTGATAGAGTTACTGAGCCAAGTCACCTATGCTTAGATCTCCTGTTGGTTTGGTTTGGGGTTTTTTTCTGGCTGATTTTCTCCAAATCTCTAACATAACTCAATACAGGTTATATGGCAGTTTCAGGTAGGCACTGCATGGATTTGATTTAGGCCACCGCAGTATTTGCAAATAACTGCACTCAGTAACATCTGTAATTCAACTACAAGCAATGAATCTGCTGTCATTCACACAGATCTTCCCGCTTCCCAATTAGTTCTTGGAAGATTTCTGTTCTTTTCGCTCCAGTACTCAGTGATATCTAAACTGATAACTAAGCAGCTTTTTTAAGAGCAGGTACTGGCTTAATTCCTTCAGTAGGGAGTCCACTCAGGAGCTAAGGATGAAGTCATCTTCGGAAGAAATTTATAATTTGTCATCAAATTATTCATGAGTTTAAGGGTCTGATTTTGTTTTCTGTTTTTCAAACACTGGAGAAAGTTTTACATATTTAACCGTCCAGAATTGTTCAGACAGTCTGGCTAGACAAGAACTAAATGACAAAACACTCAAATGTGCAAAAATCACAGCATTCCCAGAAATGTTAAAAATCAGTAATTCTAAAATAAAGTACGTTTCCCAATACAACTCATCCCTTCACTGTATAAATGTCTGCAAATGTTATACTACTGCAACTTTTCTCTCCTAATCCCCACAGTCTCAATACCCATGTAATGCCTTGGCTTCTATTGAATTCAAGTCTGCTGCTCTCAGAGAACAGTGTGTGACATAAAAAAACCAACTGTGTTTTTAGAGGCTGTCTAGAAGTAAAGAACTGGGTAATGTGAGCGCGATTCCTCGTAGGAACAGCTAGATAGCCACTAGGAGCAGAAACCAGAACAGTATTTCCTCACCACCAGCGCTTTTCTTAGCACCATAACCAGCGTTCAGTAAAACTCATTATACACAGAAATCACTTGCGGCCAAAGCAACTTTAAAAATGGAATACATAAAGTGCAGACTTGCTCTTCATGGTACGTATGAGTCTTCAAACATTGTGTTGATAGACCTCTCCAAGGTCTGTCACCTTTTGGGTGTACCAGCTGCTAACAAGTTAAGAAATCTAACTACATAAGCAAAACAATTTCACGGATAGTGGGGGGGGGGGGGGGGGGGGGGGAGGAGTGTGGCGTGGTGTT